GACCATGTCAGCAGTCGTGTACGATTTGGAGACATACTTGATGTTTTCAAACTCAAGAGAGGAACAGGCTTGGATAATATTACCAATCAAAACGGTTGGCCACAAGAATTCAAAGATGATAGCTTTCCAGATGGATACCTTACTGGAACAGAGGAAAAGCAAGTGTACAGCATTTTCTTCGTTACCACAGATCGGGCAGAGAGGTAATTCAGCTATCTCAACGTAATGTAGCAGGCGTTTGGTAGGGATGGTGTGTGTGAGGAAGCGATAGATGACATTACGGTGGATACCCATGAGGTACCCCTCATGGTTTTCATTGAAATTTAAACAAAGGCGTTTTTCACCTCGAAAATGAAGACTTTTACTATGGTAAGTACTAAATCAAAATGTTTCTTTGAATCCAAAGCAACTTCTGAAATCACTTTAATGAGGTCTTTATATGCTTAATTTTGACATTTTGGCCAAAAACCTTATTTCGGGTTTTCTGTAATTGCTCATTAAGTTGAGTCAAAACATGTATTTTACTTGGTGTCATTGGCAGCGTCTTGAAAAGTACTGCAAGAGTGTATTAGGGAATAATGTATGATTATCACAATTTATATAGGCGAACATCACAAAATAGATTAAGGAAATCGAAAAATATAATTTTTCTTTTAGGGCATATAAATGCTTTATTTAAAGTCCTTTAAACGTCACCTAAACAAAGGGAGAGGGGAAAAAGACTGGATATATGAATATACAGGGTGTCGATTTAGAGAAGCTAATCTAGGTCTTCCTGGGAATGTAAGGTTGTGAGAGATGTTTGAAGATAAAGGAGAATAGAAGGTAGAAAGGGGGTGTCGTTAAAGTAGTGCTGATAGTGGTAATACCATACAGTCTGCAGCATACAAGCAAAAAAGACCTGGTGGACTGAAAGGTCTGGGTATACTGGATGATGTTGTCGAGATGGGTGGTGTTCTAAAAGCAAGATTTTTCTGAAATTGGAATAGGTATTCTGTGCGACGGAGGATGGCATATACATGTTGAAGGCGGCGGACCAAAAGGAGCGTTTGGCAGGACAAGCAAAGAAAAATTGCTCTGTAGTCTCCATGGATGAATTGCATATAGAGCAGATGGGGTCAGGAGGAGTTTTGAGGCGACTCTGTAGCAGTTCTCTAGTAGCGATCTTGTTATGAAGCACGCGGTACCATGTGTTTCTTGCATTCAAGGGAAGGCGTAAGGATCAAAGCATTTGCCATTTGAAAGGTGCCAGAATTTTTGGTGGAGTCTTCGAGGGAGGTGAGGGAGGAAGGGCTTTGAAGCCCTTGGTAGATAGAGGAGCTATCTGGAAAAATACAAAATTTGCCTAATCTTGAACAGAAAGAATAAATTGAGCTTGAATCATTTTTGGAGGCGGAATTGCCGCTGGCTAACCTACCACAAATGCCTATCTTTTGGTGGCAATAATGTTGATTGCGATGCTGACTAAATGGGATCATGGAATTAAAAGAATAATTGCTTGGCCTAAATACTTCTTTTGGAGAGCTTTTTCTTATGACGGTGTCTTTTGCAATGACAGTATCTCAAAAAAGTTGCAGTAGATGTTACGCAAGTCCTGAATTTACTTAGGACCAGCTTTACGTCGCCATATTATTCAGAGCATCAACAGCAGTGAATGATATGGTAACGCTATCATCTGAAAAAATGGAGATTGTGGTTTACAAATGCTGCATAAACCTTGAATTTTTTTTCACAGCGTCTCAATAATAGGCTTCGGTTGGTATCAGTGTAAGTAAACAGGGCGCTGAGGGTGATACTTCCTTTCCTCCTCCTCCAGGCTCTTTTTTTTTGTATTAAGATGTATCGTTATTACTTTCTCCAGACTCTGATATAACCTTTCTTTTACTAATAGTTGGTTGTTTAATATCAACTTCATATTATGCCAAAATTTTATTATATCTGATTTATTATGTCTCCAGTAAGAGCCTGCAGGATGTCGCCATCGTCATTGAGCGTAGCGAGATTGCATTAAATTCAACATTTGGTAATATTAGACATAATAGGCTTTACCGCAGCCGAGCAAAGGTGTAAAACCGTAGAGTTCAAGCAGTAAATTCGAGTATATATTTCCGCTTTTATAAGTTTACCAGCAACATTTCGCATCAAAATTTGCATGAATTAGCTTTACCAAAATCAATATGCCTCCTCTTCGAATTAAAAATTGCGCAACCTACAGAACTGCCCTTCCAGTAAGTTGCAGCTAAGAAAGATGTGATTCATGCTGTGTAAATAAAAGCCATAAAGCAAAAATACAGCCAAATTGGACACTTTTGAAGTCTTCATATCTTGACATGTAGACTTTTTTAAGCCTCGGGAATAACACCAGGCAATTGTACATGAATAGTAGTAACTTCCTGACACCCTTGCTCAACTTTTTGGGTCAAAAAAAAACATGGCCAAAAATCGATCAACAACCATGAGGGGTACATCATGACTTTCATCGAAAATCAAACAATCGCATTTTTTACCTTAAAAATGAAGACTTTTACTATGGCATACGAGCTTTTCAGCACTTCGGGTGGTTTCCTGACCTACGCTTCGCTTCGGTGGAAACCAACCTACGTTCAAACGGCTCGCGCTGCCGCGGGCCTTTGGCTAATATCCCAAAATTAATATAGCTAAAATGTTAGAAGAGGAACCCTGATTGTTGATTGATATATAATCACTAATCGTATGAGTGTTTATGCTTCGGATGGTTCTCACCGAAGCGTAGCGAAGGTAGAGAACCAACCTGCGCAGCGGCAGCTTGTGCTACTGATTGCTCTTGCGTATTTTATCAAAATTCTGCTACTTTCATTTTGACCCTCCACTTACACATAGTAACCCTTCATATTATCTGTGGATCTGATTCTTATGTGATATTCTACATCCATATACACGTAGTTACTTCATATACGGGCAAGCAGCATACTGGTATTCCCACTTTTTAGTCCTTAGTGTCCCTAATACAGCAAAATATGAGTGCATTTGAGCTGCATTTTCTTGCGTTTAAGGCCGTTTTAGATTATCAGAATAACACCAAACAATTGCTCTCATCAGGTAGTTACTTTCTGACACCTTTGCTCAACTTTTTGGGGATCAAAAAAACATGGTCAAAAATCGACCAAAAAGCATGAGATACCCCTCATGGTTTTCATCGAAAATCAAACGATCGCGTTTTACACCTTTATAATGAACACTTTTACTATGGTATATCCTGAATCAAAATGTTTCTATCGATCCAAAACAACCTCTGAAATCATCTTTGTGGGACTTTGATATGTAAAATTTCGACTTTTTGGCCAGAAACCTCTTTTCATATTTTTACAAATCATTCAATACGTTTATTCAAAACATATATATAACTTGGTACCATTGGAAGCGCCTTGAAAAGTACTACAGGAAAGCTTAAGGAAGCATGGGATAATCATCATATTTCACTTAGTCGAATCTGCAAAAATAGTTCAATCGAGTTCGAAATTATCAAGATTTGTCCAATCTGGAACAGACTGTAAGTCTGGGTTTTAATTAATTCTGGCTTGTGCGGCCAGCTGGAGAACTCAATGCCCTTTTCATAAGGCAATACAGTACTAAATGCCCTTGAAGCGTATGGAAAATAGGTGGCAGGTCATAGCACTATTGTTTATAATAATACTTTATTGCCTTCTATATCGTTCATAGTGATATTCTTTTGCATTCTATATTTAATAATGTTAGTCTGGACATTGACGATGCAAGGGTTGCGTAAAATGTCTGCAGTAAGTACTTCAATCTCTGAAGCTCCGAGCCGTCGTTCAAGGAAAAGGTTGGCAGCATTGACCAAAGGAAAAATGTTAAAATAACAACAGTTGATTTTGCTGAATGATTGTAAAATCATTATCCACATATGAGCCAGGCCTGATAGATGCCTTGAAACTCAGGTTCCATATTAGGGTTGTAAAGTGTCTAAGGACTGAACATTTATTATGTTATGATATTAATTCAAAGTGTTTCTCTCCATACAAAGCTACTTCAGAAACCACTTTATGAGGTCTTTGTATGCAAAATTTCGACATTTTGGCCAAAAACCTTATTTCGTGTTTGCTGTAATTGCTCATTAAGTTGAGTCAGAACAAGTATTTTACTTGGTGTCATTGGAAGCGCCTTGAAAAGTACTGCAAGAGTATATTAGGAAGCATCGTATGATTATTACAATTTATATAGTTGAATATCTCAAAACAAATTAAGGAAGTCAATCTTGAACAGAAAAAATAAACTGAGTTTGAATCAATTTTGGTGGTGGCGGTATTGCCGCTGGCTGACCTAGGTGTCTTTTTGTTGATCACAATGACGATTGTGATGCTGATTAAATGGGGGTCTTGAATTTGAAAGAATTATCGATGCTGTGCCAGAAGGGCTACAACTGTCTATAAAGATTAAGGTATTCTTTATGGGTAGATATGTCTGTGTTGTGCAACAACATGGACAAGCTATGATATTTGAAGTGCATCTCAGCTATCTAAATACTGAGGTTCACCAGATGTGATAAGCGTTGTACGAGATAAATTGCTAATTTGGCATTCAGAACTTAGTATAATTACTGTAGGCGGGAAAACTGCCCCGTTCGTTCAAATAATCTTGACTTTTACCCAGTATATTGCCAAAACTCAGAAAACAAAGCTACCCCATACTGCGTTCAATAGAACAGCTTATAGGGATTACAGCAACATAAAAACCTTATGGCTGGACTATATTTTAATCCCAGTATAACCAGCTAAAGTGAGACGTGGCAAAAATGTTAGTTGGATAATTCTAGAGAATATAAAATGGTTGATATCTTTACTTCCGATAAACGTATCGGAGAGATCTAAAAAAAACTACCCGCGGTATGCTCAGAATATTTAATACCTGAGGAGCATTCTAAAAGTATTAAAAAAAAGCTAATTTCTTCATATTTTTTTCTTTATTTCTTTGCTTTCTTATTTTTTTTCAAAACTTTCATTATGCCTGCTCGTTTAACACAAGATTTGCGCAACACTCTCCAATCTTTGCTCCAACGTGGTCTGTCGTTCTCAAAGATAAGATATTTGTATCCAGGAGTGGGTAACTCTACTCTTACAAGGCTCAGAAAACTATATTGCCCTGACCCAGCTAGACCTCTTGGCGGAAGACCGAAAAAACTTGGTACTAAAACTATGTCCCTAATGTCAAGAGAACTTCGATCAGGTACTTTAGATAGTCCCGGAGCAGCGCAAGAAAGTTTAAGATTGATGGGTCAAGATATGTCAATTGGTGGCATCCGCAAGTCATTGAAAAGAAATGGTCTTAAATCTCGAATAAAAGCAAAGATAAATTTTGTTAGCAAGGTAAACAAGCGGCTTCGATTGGCGTGGGCTAAAAAGCATAGGCATCTTACTACTGCTGATTGGCGTCGTTGGGTGTCTTCGGATGAAACAAGAATAAACCTTTGGGGCTCAGATGGTAATTCTTTTTACTGGACGAATGGTGGCTGAATCATGCAGTCGTATCAAGTCAAGTCTCAGGTGCAGAGAAATGACGGTGGGGTCATGTTCTGGAGTTGCATAACAGCGGAGGGGCCTGGTTATGGTACTACCATTATTGAAGACGCAATAAACTCGGGCTTGTTTGTCGATATTTCGAAGACATCATTGAACGACACTCTTGAGCACTTTGGGAAGACACCATCTGATGTGCGAATTCAACAAGACATAGCAACACCGCATACATCGGGCATTACTAAACAATGGTTCACCGACAATGGGTTTAACCTAGACAAAATTATGGATTGGCCACCCCAAAGTCCCAATCTTAATCCCATTGAACATGTCTGGCATCTCCTAAAGCTTCGTCTTAATAAGTATCCCAGTAGGCCCTCTACAAAAGAAGAATTAGTGCGGCGTATTAACATTCAGTGGTACAAAATAACAGAAAAAGAGTGCCAGAAATATATTGATAGTATGCCTGCCCGAATCAAGGCTGTCATCAAGAGCAAAGGTGGTTCAACTCACTATTAAAGATTTTATAATAAAATGTACATTTTTCTATATTTATTTTTAACCAATAAAATCATTGGATTTTAGTTTTTAAAAAAGTTATAGTTATGTATAGATAGCACTACTTTCTCTCATTCAAAGGATATATATTTCGACTTTGTATACAAAGAAATGACCAAAAACTTGTGCAAAAAGACAAAATTTTAAACGAACGGGACAGTTTTTCCCCCTACAGTATGTTTACAAGTCCAGTCAACTGTGAGTACACGAGTGCCTCAGGAACTACAATACATTCAATCTCCCTGATGTCAAGATATCGAGTTCTACCTACACTACATGAAACATATCGACTTAGGCGGCCTCTCAACAAGCTATACCAACAATCCATAAGGCCCCAGTGGCCTGCTATTTATATACAATCTCAACGTAGTAGTCATTTACCAAGGATCTAATATATCTAAGCTAATTAGATGCCCTGTAATAAAAAAGCTCTTTGCTTTCGTTTTAGTTACAGCTGACAACTGATTATTATCATCGACTATTATTACGAGTTCATCACTATCAACGAAGAGGTTCGTGATACGTGACAAACGCTTCAGGGAAACCAAATTTCAGCAACACTTGTGGGAGATACTTGGGATGAACGCTTTCAAAAGCCTTGTCGTTATCAAGCATGATGACGGCATAGGCTGCAAAGTTAGAGGGATTCCGCCAGCTGGCAGAATAAGCATTATCTAGAAGCGCTTAGGGACATGCCATGGTCATCACTATAACGACCTGGCAGGAAACCACATTGGTAGGGGGTGATAATCTTGTTAGCAACTTGGACAGCTCGAGAGTTCATTATTCGGGTAAAAACGTTGCAGTCAGCTGCAATACGTGCGATGGGCCGATAGTTGGCGAGGTCACTCTTGGCACCTTTCTTGTGTAGAATGACGGTACACGAGACCTGCCAAGGTGTTGGGAACTTTGCCAAATGGATAGCTTCATTGAATACCTGGTGGATAATGTCCCGACAGCTTGGATGGGACACAAGGAGGTAACGTATCTCATAGCCAATGCCTTCTAGATCTGGGCTACTCTCTTTGGGTGTTGGACGGGCGTCATCCAAGATATCATCATAATCTATTGACTCCATAATCTGTGCAGTATTTTCGGATGATAAAGTGCGATTGATATGTCCCAACATGGCGTTCAGGCAATTCATGTCAATCGGCTTCTCCATGTACAAATCCTGATAAAAGGCCTCAACATCATTGAGTTTGCTTTCCGTGTCCAGACAAGAATTTTCAAGGATTTTCATGAGGTATGCCCCCCATAGTTTGGGGCCAATTCTAGGTGATGAAATTTCGGCTCCCAAAAATTGAGTAAAGCTGTTAAAAAATGACTCATGGTTGAGAGCAACTATTTGGTGCTATTCCAATGGCTTACAACAATTTCTGACGCCAGAGCTTGGGCCTCAAATTCATCCAAGTGTTACTGTATATCTCAAATTCCTGAATGATGGGGCGATGGAAGAATGCTGGCTGTTTTACGCGCATCAGCGAATCACATTGCAATAGAAGTAAAGCCCTATAAAAGAGTAAAATAAGCTGTTAAAGGCGAGTATGATAGGGGGTTTTAGTGATGAAAACAAGTTCCATGGTGACCTTTCTAAATGTACGCAAGAAATGCCACTTTTTGGATGTATGAATGCATAGATGTAAAAAATGCATTCTCAATCATTTTATAAGATGGGAGTAACCAAGCATCAGTGCATTGGTGTTCAATCTGAATTGCTCTAATGCTCACTTTACTTTTGTCATTGAATGTACATATACCCCATTCAGCATGGGATCAATCATCATCCTAGGAAAAAAATACGATTGTTGTTTCGTCGGTAAAGTTGGAGCGTTGGATCATAGTATCCTCCTGAGTTCTGTTGGTCGAAATCTATCGTGCACTGACAGCAACACACTAATTACCAATTCAATTAAAACGGACATATTCAGTATGATTACTGTCTATACATGTCGTCTGTTGGTATCCGCATTGCTTTATTAAAAGACATAGCGAATCTATTGAAGCAAAAATTGTAATGCTTAGTTCTATTTGCTTATTCAAGGAGAATAGAACAGATCAAACGAAATCATCATCTGCCTACTACTGCGAGACGGTGAAGTTCAAGAATAGATGGGCATCATACCTAGGTGATGATGTGATATTAGTTCCCAATGAGTCAAGTATGGAAGATTTTTATCTTCTAGCAGCATATGGAATTCCTATGTCTCTTCTTATATCCGTCAAGCTCATGAAAAAAACGATTGACTAAGAGGTCCATCGGTGATGCTCATAGTTTAGTTTTCAATAATGAGGGGGTCTTTATTGTCATCTTTTCTGATACATCTTGCAGCAGTTTGATTTTACGCACTCGCAATCCAGCAGTAGCTAAAATATCTAGCCCTAGTTTTCTGACCATCCGTTTTTTGATTTAAATTTATATGCTTACAACGGGCAGTATGTCATTGATATTTTACATTAGAAGCTTTTAAAGAAACAGCTGCTCAATGTTACGGCGGTACCAATTGTCTTTCCAGAAAACAATCAAAGTATAATACGTAGGGTTCTTTCTTTGGGTTTGTGTATCTTCTCAATTAACTATACTTCTGCAACACCTTCCAGTATTTTGTATCGCTCAATAAATAACATGATGGAAACAGGAGCTCACCTCAACATGAATCACCTTTTCATTATTTTTAATTAAATTTTAGACAACGCAAATAGACATTAATAAGAGGAGCTGGTAAATAATACAAGTTGAATTTATTAAATAACAAAAAAGAACTATTCTGGCAGTATCATTTAGCTTCATGTAGTAGAAAATACTAATACATTACTGACGGTGTTCACCCACGAGAAGGGAGATACTAGTTGAACCCAAAAGGAAATCTGAAATGAACATGCAAAGTCAAAAAGATGACAAAGACGCACAAATCAGTTGGTGAACCTTGCTTGATGAGATTGAAGCTCAAGTGGAGATGCTAATAGCTACAAAGCTACTCGCCCTAGAACTCGAACGGTACCGACTAGGATGCACCGCTAGCACTATTACCTTCATAATAGACTATCGTTACCAGCACCATTCACCTTTGCTAGTTTTGACTAGGTCTACCACCGCTGGTTTCAGTAAGAAGAGACTTGGAAAGTTAAAGATCGTCATTGCTAAAAGAAAAAAAAAATATAAAAAATAAAATTGACTGTAAAGGGTGTGTATATGTTGGAAAAAAAAAAAAAAAAGAGGAAACGTGAGAGAGAAAAAAAAGGGGGTAGCGTGACAGTGGCCGCGTCTCAAAATCTACCAAGCAAGGAAAAATAGACCGAGGATAGGGTTGCCATAGACTACCATGAATAAACTACCTGATATACCAGACTTTTGAATACATTGGTGCCGTTAGGCTTCTCGAGTAAGTTTAAAGACAGTCGAACATTAAGCATAAGCACAGTCTACCATTTCAAATACAAGCGAAATAGTGTAAGCTTGGTATGTTTTCTGACTTGAAAGCATACAAAAGAAGGCTTTTCGCTTGGATGAAAAGCCACAGACCAACCAGACACCAGGCAGAAAAGATCCTTGAATCACCAGTTAGTTGACACATCGCAAGGTAGCTGCACACTGTATACTGACCATATTATACTTGTATTCTTGTCAGGAACTTGGACTTGGAACTTGGACTTGAAACTTGGAACTTGATACTTGACTTGATTGAGATGGTTTGTTATTGAAGAATAATTGTTTTAAGGTAAGAAAGGATATAGAAGATAATTTACAATTGGAAACGGATGAAGTGGAAAGGGGCATGATATTTATACTTGACAAAAGGTGCGGACATAAGCGCCGAGACATGAGTGATTATTACGAGGACGTGGGTAATGATTTGTAATCAGGACTACGCGGACATACGTAATGATTTGTAATCATTATTATTATTACTAATCGTGGTTAAAAAGCATAACTCATGATTGTGTGATTCTTGGCATTGCCAAATACTTGACGATAATAGGTACTTGGCATGCATAAGGTTATATATAGTGCTGAATACTTCCCACGAAATAACGACTACTAAACTAATGAGCGACGAGCTAGAACTAAGCCAAAACCACGCTGTTTATATCAGCCTCTGCATTCTGTTATTTTAGTGTATCACCATCTTCAACTTGGAATATATTGCTCAGCAGCAGCATATGATGAGCATTTGTTTAACCTATCAAATCCAAAGTAGCATGCGTGAGTCTTTCATTGCAACTTGCCTGCCAGCCTTCTCTTCAAATGAACATTTGTTATTTTGAGTAGTAGAGATTATTATATAGGTACTAATCAAACCTCTCTAGTAGCCGAACGATCTCGCTACTCTCGATGATGGCGTCGCCCTGTGGGCTTTCGCCGAAGATCATAACCATTCAATCAATAATATAAAAAAGTTATATCAGAGTTGGGAGAGGGGATTTTCCTCGAAACCCATCTTTGCTTATACAATGATATATAACGAAAGCTATTATTAGGACGATGTGAAAAAGAGCTCAAGTTTCATGCAGCATTTGTACACTACATTATCGTCAACATCTTTAATCTATTTTCCTGTTTGAATGTACGCCAACTACTAGATATTAACAACATGTGACACCCACATCAGCGCATACACCAGCAACATAATCTACATCGATAGTTTTCTTGATTACTCGTTCAACAAGTTTGTAGACTCTCCACCCTAACATCACAACGTCGATCCTTTTCCTACCTTTTCTCTGCTCAAGAAGCGATATTTTACGGCTCCATCAGAAAAGACGAAATATAACAAGAAGGTTGCAACGCAGTTGCAGCAACTCCCATTACCTTCCTTCGTTCTTGCCCTAAAACTACCTGTCCATCTTTGTCTGATATACTGGAAGGCCTCCAAGACTTTCTAGTCCCTCAATTTGAGAGGCTGAAACAGAATATCGTTTTTCTCATCCACTGTCGACTCACGTGTACAAAACATGAAAGA